TTGGTGTGTGGAAGGGGAGGGGGTAAGTGGATGGGTGTGTGGACGGGGAGCAGGTAAGTGGATGGGTGTTTGGAAGGGGAGTAGGTAAGTGGATGGGTGTGTGGAAGGGGAGTAGGTAAGTGGATGGGTGTGTGGAAAGAGAGTAGGTAAGTGGATGGATGTGTGGAAGGAGAGTAGGTAAGTGGATGGCTGTGTGGAAGGAGAGTAGGTAAGTGGATGGCTGTGTGGAAGGAGAGTAGGTAAGTGGATGGGTGTGTGGAAGGAGAGTAGGTAAGTGGATGGGTGTGTGAAAGGAGAGTAGGTAAGTGGATGGGTGTGTGGAAGGAGAGTAGGTAAGTGGATGGGTGTGTGGAAGGGGGGAAGGTAAGTGGATGGGTGTGTGAAAGGAGAGTAGGTAAGTGGTTGGCTGTGTGGAAGGAGAGTAGGTAAGTGGATGGGTGTGTGGGAGGAGAGTAGGTAAGTGGATGGGTGTGTGGAAGGAGAGTAGGTAAGTGGATGGGTGTGTGGAAGGGGAGGAGGTAAGTGGGTGGGTGTGTGGAAGGGGAGTAGGTAAGTGGATGGGTGTGTGGAAGGGGAGGAGGTAAGTGGATGGGTGTGTGGACTGGGAGTAGGTAAGTGGATGGCTGTGTGGAAGGAGAGTAGGTAAGTGGATGGGTGTGTGGAAGGGGGAAGGTTAGTGGATTGGTGTGTGGAAGGAGAGTAGGTAAGTAGATGGGTGTGTGGAAGGGGGGAAGGTAAGTGGATGGGTGTGTGGAAGGAGAGTAGGTAAGTGGATGGGTGTGTGGAAGGGGGAAGGTAAGTGGATGGATGTGTGGACGGGGAGTAGGTAAGCGAGTGGGTGTGTGGAAGGAGAGTTAGTAAGTGGATGGGTGTGTGGAAGGAGAGTAGGTAAGGGGATGGGTGTGTGGAAGGAGAGTAGGTAAGTGGATGGGTGTGTGGAAGGAGAGTAGGTAAGTGGATGGGTGTGTGGAAGGGGAGGAGGTAAGTGGATGGGTGTGTGGAAGGGGAGTAGGTAAGTGGATGGGTGTGTGGAAGGGGAGGAGGTAAGTGGATGGGTGTGTGGACGGGGAGTAGGTAAGTGGATGGGTGTGTGGAAGGAGAGTAGGTAAGTGGATGGGTGTGTGGAAGGGGGAAGGTTAGTGGATTGGTGTGTGGAAGGAGAGTAGGTAAGTAGATGGGTGTGTGGAAGGGGGGAAGGTAAGTGGATGGGTGTGTGGAAGGAGAGTAGGTAAGTGGATGGGTGTGTGGAAGGGGGAAGGTAAGTGGATGGATGTGTGGACGGGGAGTAGGTAAGCGAGTGGGTGTGTGGAAGGAGAGTAAGTAAGTGGATGGGTGTGTGGAAGGAGAGTAGGTAAGGGGATGGGTGTGTGGAAGAGGGAAAGGGTAGTGGATGGGTGTGTGGAAGGGGGGAAGGTTAGTGGATGGGTGTGTGGAAGGGGGGAAGGTAAGTGGATGGGTGTGTGGAAGGGGAGGAGGTAAGTGGATGGGTGTGTGGACGGGGAGTAGGTAAGTGGATGGGTGTGTGGACGGGGAGTAGGTAAGTGAATGGGTGTGTGGAAGGGGAGTAGGTAAGTGGATGGGTGTGTGGAAGGGGGGAAGGTTAGTGGATGGGTGTGTGGAAGGGGGGAAGGTAAGTGGATTGGTGTGTGGAAGGGGAGGAGGTAAGTGGATGGGTGTGTGGACGGGGAGCAGGTAAGTGGATGGGTGTTTGGAAGGGGAGTAGGTAAGTGGATGGGTGTGTGGAAGGGGAGTAGGTAAGTGGATGGGTGTGTGGAAGGAGAGTAGGTAAGTGGATGGGTGTGTGGAAGGAGAGTAGGTAAGTGGAATGCTGTGTGGAAGGAGAGTAGGTAAGTGGATGGCTGTGTGGAAGGAGAGTAGGTAAGTGGATGGCTGTGTGGAAGGAGAGTAGGTAAGTGGATGGGTGTGTGGAAGGAGAGTAGGTAAGTGGATGGCTGTGTGGAAGGAGAGTAGGTAAGTGGATGGGTGTGTGGAAGGAGAGTAGGTAAGTGGATGGCTGTGTGGAAGGGGGGAAGGTAAGTGGATGGCTGTGTGGACGGGGAGTAGGTAAGTGGTTGGGTGTGTGGAAGGAGAGTAGGTAAGTGGATGGGTGTGTGGAAGGAGAGTAGGTAAGTGGATGGGTGTGTGGAAGGGGGGAAGGTAAGTGGATGGGTGTGTGGAAGGAGAGTAGGTAAGTGGATGGCTGTGTGGAAGGAGAGTAGGTAAGTGGATGGGTGTGTGGAAGGAGAGTAGGTAAGTGGATGGCTGTGTGGAAGGGGAGTAGGTAAGTGGATGGCTGTGTGGAAGGGGAGTAGGGAAGTTGATGGGTGTGTGGAAGGAGAGTAGGTAAGTGGATGGCTGTGTGGAAGGGGAGTAGGCCCTAGGGAGGCCAAGTATCAGTGACACCATATCGTACATTCACCGTTAGCGGGACAAGACCAAGTATTCTCGACACTATATCGCAAACACACTATTTCATAGGACAATAGCACACAAACACTATTCTGGACCAGTCATCTGAAATAGGATTGATCTAACTGCCAGTTTATTTACTTAGGAAAAAACATTATATTTAAAGGCAGGGCTAAAAGGATTAAGGCTAGAATTTTGTATGGAGACTGGATATTATTTTCAGCTACAGCTGCAAAAAATAAAAACCAAGAGACTATTTATGACATAGATTTTCTAAATGTCAAAAGTTTATCTCCTAAATCTCTTGCTTAAAGCGAAAGTCTAACTTGTCAAATGCTCAAGCTTCAATGGCATTGTTGGTCCTATCAGATAACAGTATACCATGGCAATATGGCCGGGATATTAGAAAGTCCACCTTTGACGGCGAATATAAAAACACATGCCCTTTCGAACAGTATTGTACTGCATGGTTGTGGATATATTTTAAAGTAAAGAAATGCACGCATACCTTTCGAGCAGTCCCATGGTTGTCAGTCAGGAACCGATACACTTTAAAGGAATGGCATTATAACCGATCTCATCATTATTAAATAAGTCAGCTATTACGACTGTCAACAGCTACGACAAAAATACTTGGTCCCGTCCAGCACAGTTCGCCTTGGCGATCGCGCATTTCGAAAGTAGAACTAGTTAATGAATATTGCTTGCCGCCGAAAATCTGGCACCGGAGGTAGCGCTTCGCGAACCAATTGATTTAGTTATCATCTAACACTGGCCACTACAGGAGTTAACGCTTGGGTGAGCTTCCACGTTTTAACTTTATTTTTGTCTGGTAAATTGTAACGCGTAATGATACACTCGTTACTCGCATCAATAGCAGGGTGTCCGTCTTAGTTGGAGGATGGATATTGTACACGGCCCTTACTAACCCCCAAAGTCATCCCTCAACAAAATGACATGCGGTATCGGCGAGTCTCTGAAGGTCGTCCGTGTTGCCTGTGCAAAAACTAGCATGCACGTGCATCACAAGAAACAGAGTGAATTCTGCGGTGGTGATGTGATCTGGCATTTGATTGACAGGGCCAAGCTACAAACTCATTGTTGAATGGAATAACTCGTGTGCACTAGGATACACAAGTACGACATGTGTCGGTAGTGGGGTTGGGATATTCGTTGAAAGGGTTCATGCAGGTTACTGGTTCAGTCACCGGGACTAGCAGCGTGGTTGCAAATTATTTACACGATCTGTCACTCTGAGATATGCAGAAATATGAGGCGCCGTGTTACTATTTATTCCTGATTTTATAATATCAATAATATATTTATTTTTGTCTCAAAACGAATTATTATTGTCACAAATTCGAATTTTAGATATCATGAAATGAATTTCTGATATCTAAAAGTCTTCAGTATTTCATGATATCATAAATGATTTATTGATATAAATTAGATTTTCAGATATCACAAATTCGATTTTTATATATCATAAAATAACTATTAAATAACTGATTATTTATAATCAATAATTCGAATTTATGATATAAAATTATTATTGATATAACAAATTCGATTTTTTGGATATAAAATGATTGACAGATTGCTGACAAAGAATGTGGGTAATTTAACTTAATATCAGAATGTCATATCAAGCTTAATTAAACAGCATAAATTCTTTAAATCTATTTTTGATAATTCACCTTCTCCAAATCAATATGTCCAACGTACTTTATGCGTGACAAGCGTGTTGACAAGTAGCTTAATTATTTACTGCGGTATGCAAAAATTCTTTTTCTTTCATGAAACTAACGGTTAATTATTGATATCACAGATTAGATTTTTTCATATCAATAAAACATTTCGAGTCTAAAATTAATTTACTGATATAAAAAAATCGACTTTGTGATGTCAATAAAACATTTTTTTTTATAGATCCTTCAATAATTCGATTAACATCGAATTTATTGATATCTCAATATTGAATTTTTTATATGAATAAATACATTTATTGTTATCTCAAAATAGAATTTGTGATATCAATAAATGAATTATTGATATCATAGGGAATAGATCTAAATAGTAAAACGGCGCCTGATACAGAAACGTCCCTGACTGTACATAACAATGCAGATTACCGGACGCAGTTTCTATATGGCCGTAACACGCTCAAGCTGCTGGCATGTGGCTCGCTTCACAGATCTCGCGTTCCTCTTTGGGTTAGTCGTGTTCGGGTCAGGGCAAGTTACCCCCAACTCCATCCTTAACTCTTGGATCCCCTATCCGATCAAGCATCCCTACGATCATGAGGGTTAGGTACCCCTTTCCGACCAAACAACTCCTTTACGCTCCTTTGGGCGAGGCACCTCTTTTGGGTCCTGAGAGTTAGTTGTGTCGCGGTAGGGCCTCCATCCCTCCATGCTGTATCAGTACTTATTGTAAATGTAACATCAAAGAAAAACGCCGAAACCATGTTACAAGGGCTTTTAATTACGAGCTGGACGTTCGTGTACACTCTTCGATCTTTCGGTTTCTTGGTGTACAGCGCCACCATTCAGCTCGTAAAACCCCGGCTGGTAGCAGCATGTAAATCCAAACCGTTATTCCAGCCCACGTCTCGCCTAAGGTCTACCAGGTCGTCACAATCACGCTCAACGTTCGTTATCTGCACCGCGGCCGTGCTTTAGTCAACCTGTCGCTAGGCAACGGCTGCCGATTTTGCTAGCCGGGAGATCGCCTCACGCTACACGTTCTGTAGGTGGTGACCTACAATCCGAGACTGAGCGTGAGGCCACGGCAACAAGATCTGCCCTTCACATACAACAACCGGGATTTCGTTTTCACATCATAGACAGACAACGTTCTCATCAGTAAGTATGCAACACGCAAGCTTGGCGAGATGAGGGCTGAGTGACAATGTATCGTTGGTTCATGTTCATGTACCGGTTTCACGGCTAATCGTTTGCTTGGAACATGGCCTACTTCATGGATCATACTTGGTATAAAGGTGGCTGTATGTAACCCCATTACGACTGTGTATAACCCAATTACAACTGTTTATAGCCCTATTGTAAATGTATATAACCCTACTGTGATTATTGTGACTGTATATAACCAAATAATGGCTGTTTCCGTGACTGTATGTAACCCCAGGTGTGCCTGTACATAACCCGACCGTGACTATATAACCTAATTTGGCTGTAACCCAGTTGTGAATGAAAAAATCCTTTGTGATTGTATATAACCTATTGTGACTATATAACCCTATTGTGAATGTATATAACCCATTACAACTTAATATAACTACATTGTGATTGCATATAGCCCTATCATGACTGTATATAACCGCATTGTTACTGTATATAACCTCATCGTGATTATGACCCCTTTGTAACTATATAACCACACTGACACTAATATGACTGTATATAACTTAAGGTGGCTATATGTAACCCTATTGTGAATGTGTATGGCCTATTGTGAAGGTATATGACACCATTGTGACTTATATAACCCTATCGTGAATGTATATAACCCTATCGTGAATGTATATAACCCTATCGTGAATGTATATAACCCTATCGTGAATGTGTATAACCCCAGTGTGACTGTCGTAACCCATTGTGACTGTACATAACCCTTGTGTTTTATGCGTCCCTCGTTAGGTTTGATACCACACGCCCTTATCACGAGGAGTATACATTATACATGGGGTTTTATGCGTCCCTTTGTTAGGTTTGATACCACACGCCCGGATCACGAGGAGTATACATTATACATGGGGTTTTATGCGTCCCTTTGTTAGGTTTGATACCACACGCCCTTATCACGAGGAGTATACATTATACATGGGGTTTTATGCGTCCCTCGTTAGGTTTGATACCACACGCCCGGATCACGAGGAGTATACATTATACATGGGGTTTTATGCGTCCCTTTGTTAGGTTTGATACCACACGCCCTTATCACGAGGAGTATACATTATACATGGGGTTTTATGCGTCCCTCGTTAGGTTTGATACCACACGCCCTTATCACGAGGAGTATACATTATACATGGGGTTTTATGCGTCCCTCGTTAGGTTTGATACCACACGCCCTTATCACGAGGAGTATACATTATACATGGGGTTTTATGCGTCCCTCGTTAGGTTTGATACCACACGCCCTTATCACGAGGAGTATACATTATACATGGGGTTTTATGCGTCCCTCGTTAGGTTTGATACCACACGCCCTTATCACGAGGAGTATACATTATACATGGGGTTTTATGCGTCCCTTTGTTAGGTTTGATACCACACGCCCTTATCACGAGGAGTATACATTATACATGGGGTTTTATGCGTCCCTCGTTAGGTTTGATACCACACGCCCTTATCACGAGGAGTATACATTATACATGGGGTTTTATGCGTCCCTCGTTAGGTTTGATACCACACGCCCTTATCACGAGGAGTATACATTATACATGGGGTTTTATGCGTCCCTCGTTAGGTTTGATACCACACGCCCTTATCACGAGGAGTATACATTATACATGGGGTTTAATGCGTCCCTCGTTAGGTTTGATACCACTCGCTCGGATCACGAGGAGTACATGGGGTTTTATGCGTCCCTCGTTAGGTTTGATACCACTCGCCCGGATCACGAGGAGTATACATGGGGTTTTATGCGTCCCTCGTTAGGTTTGATACCACACGCCCGGATCACGAGGAGTATACATTATACATGGGGTTTTATGCGTCCCTCGTTAGGTTTGATACCACACGCCCTTATCACGAGGAGTATACATTATACATGGGGTTTAATGCGTCCCTCGTTAGGTTTGATACCACTCGCTCGGATCACGAGGAGTACATGGGGTTTTATGCGTCCCTCGTTAGGTTTGATACCACACGCCCTTATCACGAGGGGTATACATGGGGTTTTATGCGTCCCTCGTTAGGTTTGATACCACACGCCCGGATCACGAGGAGTATACATTATACATGGGTTTTTATGCGTCCCTCGTTAGGTTTGATACCACACGCCCTTATCACGAGGAGTATACATTATACATGGGGTTTTATGCGTCCCTCGTTAGGTTTGATACCACACGCCCTTATCACGAGGGGTATACATGGGGTTTTATGCGTCCCTCGTTAGGTTTGATACCACTCGCTCGGATCACGAGGAGTACATGGGGTTTTATGCGTCCCTCGTTAGGTTTGATACCACACGCCCTTATCACGAGGGGTATACATGGGGTTTTATGCGTCCCTCGTTAGGTTTGATACCACCCGCCCTTATCACGAGGGGTATACATGGGGTTTTATGCGTCCCTCGTTAGGTTTGATACCACTCGCCCGGATCACGAGGAGTATACATGGGGTTTTATGCGTCCCTCGTTAGGTTTGATACCACACGCCCGGATCACGAGGAGTATACATTATACATGGGGTTTTATGCGTCCCTCGTTAGGTTTGATACCACACGCCCTTATCACGAGGAGTATACATTATACATGGGGTTTAATGCGTCCCTCGTTAGGTTTGATACCACTCGCTCGGATCACGAGGAGTACATGGGGTTTTATGCGTCCCTCGTTAGGTTTGATACCACTCGCCCGGATCACTAGGGGTATATGGGGTTTTATGCGTCCCTCGCAATGTTTGATACCACTCGCCCGGATCACTAGGGGTACATGGGGTTTTATGCGTCCCTCGCTATGTTTGATACCACTCGCCCGGATCACGAGGGGTATACATGGGGTTTTATGCGTCCCTCGCTAGGTTTGATACCCCACGCCCGGATCACGAGGGGTATACATGGGGTTTTATGCGTCCCTCGTTAGGTTTGATACCACCCGCCCTTATCACGAGGGGTATACATGGGGTTTTATGCGTCCCTCGTTAGGTTTGATACCACACGCCCGGATCACGAGGAGTATACATTATACATGGGGTTTTATGCGTCCCTCGTTAGGTTTGATACCACACGCCCTTATCACGAGGGGTGTACATTATACATGGGGTTTAATGCGTCCCTCGTTAGGTTTGATACCACTCGCTCGGATCACGAGGAGTACATGGGGTTTTATGCGTCCCTCGTTAGGTTTGATACCACTCGCCCGGATCACTAGGGGTATATGGGGTTTTATGCGTCCCTCGCAATGTTTGATACCACTCGCCCGGATCACTAGGGGTACATGGGGTTTTATGCGTCCCTCGCTATGTTTGATACCACTCGCCCGGATCACGAGGGGTACACATGGGGTTTTATGCGTCCCTCGCTAGGTTTGATACCCCACGCCCGGATCACGAGGGGTATACATGGGGTTTTATGTGTCCCTCGTTTGGTTTGATACCACTCGCCTGGATCACGAGGGATATACATGGGGTTTTATGCGTCCTTCGTTAGGTTTGATACCCCACGCCCTTATCACGAGGGGTATACATGGGGTTTTATGTGTCCCTCGTTTGGTTTGATTCCACTCGCCTGGATCACGAGGGGTATGCATGGGGTTTTATGCGTCCTTCGTTAGTTTTAATACCACTCTCCCCTTACGTCCTGCTTTGCACAAAGGGTAGAACGATGTCGCCCCGGTAACGTATGCCATTAAAGTTGAGTTCTGTCGTGAGTTAAGATGCCACCTTATACTATTTTTTAATTTCAGAATAAATCTATTTTTATTGAACTTTATTTGAAGCAAAGTTGCTTTTTCCGTTAGTACAAAAATGAATGATTGATATCAGAAATGCGATTTTCTTGTATCAATACAATATTTTTAGAGATTACAAATTCGAAATGTTTTTATTGTGACAGATTCATAATCACTTCATGGTTAAAAATGAATGTTACCTTTAAGTTATACCGCAGTAAATAAGCTACTAGTAACAATATGTTTTGTTACCTCTATCTTCCCGAGGGAAGGGAGTTAACTGACTTTAAATGTCTAGTTTCCACCCTTGCCGAACTAGGCAGGAATTATGGAGTTATATCTTGGTTGGACTAACGAGTCTGTGCATAGTCCAATCAAAATCGCATTACGAAATCGACATCCGGTTTGTCAACTGTCGTGCAGATTTCGATTGCAGGATTTGTAACGCATGTGTACCATCAACTCGGCGTCAACAGATATTTTCCAAATCCTTTCAAGTTTCTAATCAAGGTTCTCACGTGATTTGATGCATTTCGCAAAGCAAGACTACAATCTAGCCCAGAAATCTCTTTAATGCATAAGGACTGTGGAAAGCATCTGTGACTAATATTGTGGTGAGTGGGAATTACATAAAAAAACAACATAAAATGTGATTTTCGGTGGTGGCCCATCGAAAAATACGAAACTTAAATTTCACTATTCTGATAAACCCCTAGATATTGTTGTCACTTATACGTATTTAGGAATTGTACTTCACAGGAATAGAAAACGAGTATCAAGTCTTAAGTCCCTTAGTGACAGTGAATCGGAAGCTATGTTTTGTCTGATAAAAATATCAAGAAATTTAAATTTACCTTTGGACTGTCTATTATCAGCGATGGTATTACCAATATTATCTTTTGGTTCAGTCTGGGGCTTTGAAAATTTAGAAATTATAGAAAGAATACACCTCAAATTCCTCAGACTTATCACAGGATCAAGAATTCAACTCTTTATATATTATATAGCGAATTAGGTAGGCTACCATTAAGAATAATAATTTGTAAACGAATGATATCTTTCTGGCACAAATTAACATATCAAACTGGTGTGTATAAACTTTCACAGCTGTTATATCAATATTTGTCATTTAATAGGAACAAGACTATTGTATCAACAAATCCCTGGGTTAGATGTGTTATGGATACACCAGACAGTATTGGATTATCTTATGTATGTAACAATCCATCAATAAGCACAACAAAGTGGCTAGTGTCAGAAGTAGAGCAAATACTTAAAGTTGTGTTTTTTTAGAAATTGAGAAGTGACGTTAATTCTAGTTCTAAAGGATTATATTATAAACATTTATAGGGCACTCCGGTTCTCGATAAATATCTTCAATTGCCTTAACGAAGGAAAATAGAGCCTGTAAATCTATTTTGTAATTCTCCATCTATTGCTGATGAATTTCACTACGTATTCAGATGTATTTTTTTAAAAGAGAGAGTCAAACATTTCTATCATCATATTATACTGAATGGCCAAATATTATAAAATTTGTAAAACTCTTATCAACAACAAACACACAGGATCTAAAAAAATTATCGTAAAAATGTCCGTTAGTATTACAAATGCTAGGTAATCACATGCTGTTATTAACTGCCATCTTGTCAGCTATTTGTACACATACATAATTATTTTTTGTAATATGCTGTTGTACCACCTTTTATGGTTTTTGAGAATAAACTGATTCTGATTCTGATTCTGATAGTTTCCAACCCAGATCGAGTTTTGAAAACTGCTCTCTGGAGACTTTGTGAAAGTATAGCAATGATTTATTTCTAGATTGGCAAACAGTGTTATGCAGTAAATTTGAATAGGCAAACAAAGTGGTGTTTGAAGGACTTGATCAAAGAATACTTTGACAAACAACTATCCTAGTATTCTAGTTCCTCCATTAGTGACCGATCCTATCTATCTATTCCCAGGATCTGCAAGAAGGATGTGGCAAATTACTCCTTCAACAAAGACGTCATGTTCCGGTGCCAAGAAACGGAAAGCGAGCGGTGAAGGAGATTCGGGCGTGGACATAAAGAACGACATTCACCAACCTTCTGAACACACCCAGGTGATGACGCCGGCAGAGATCAAACAGGAGGTTTGCTCGACTTCCACCTTCAATAACCGTGCAGAGACACCCGTGGAGGAGGCACAGTTCCGAGATGTGTCACGAGTTCCGACTTCTGCAGACGGCATTGTTCTGTGTGGGCACTGCAGGGAGATGCGTGCCACCTTGTGCTGTATGGAAAAGTCGTGTGTTTCCTTTGCTTATCGTACGTGGCATATGACGTCATTATTCATTTGTGACGTGTGTGACATCACATTTCATGACAGCAACCCCGTTATGGCAGAACACTTGCGGTCGCGGTTACTGATTCGAAATTACAACATTGACACATCACCACAATCTGAAGCAACACCAGTGTCGCTACATGAAAATGAGAACACTTCCCCCTCTCCAGGTCCGTCGGACGCTACACTAACTGCTCCCCCACACCTGCTGCTAGATGCAGTCCCTCAGGCAGATGCACCAAGGCAACAGGCTCAGAAGAGCAGTGTCCCAGCACGTCTCCCTGGGCGGCAGCTGAGCAATCTCCTCATGAGAGTGCATGAACGCTACCAGACAGTTCTACGACACAACGTAAGCCACCACTGCCCCCTAACGGAGACCTTCAGAGAGACCAAGGTCGCGCGACAAACTCTAGTCGATGCCATCGCTATCGCTGAACTGAAGATCGTAGATCCTGCCAGGTATGATGAGGTAATTGCATCATATCGCGATGACGTCGTTGCACCGAGAATGTTGGACGTAGAGACTGTGTGTAGGCGTATCCTGAAGGACTACACAGACGCCATCAACGAGCTAAGGGGAAAGAGTATCATTCCTTTCAGGTTTAACATGTATGTGCCAAGAGGGAAGCCTGAACATAATTCCTGAAATGATTCAAAAATACATATAGTTGTGTTATTTCTACAAAGACATACAGATAAAAAGCCGTCAGTTAGAGTCTGGCTTCTCCGGGCATCCTCACATTTGGTGTCAGTTTCACTTATTTGCATATTAATTCATCGCATTTGAATACTTATTCTTTTAGAGCTATGACCCTCTCTTTAAGAGCGAAGATTTTATGAAAAGGCTCGCTCATAAACTTTTATACATTTTCGACTTCTTCGAAATGGGTTGATGGATTCAGAAATATATTTTATGTGGATGTTTGTTAACCATTAAGGGGTTCAAGTTTGTCCATGGTAAGTCGTGACCAACCCGTGTCCGTAGAAGGGCTGTATATTGGCGTATTAACATCAGAACTATTTTTAAGGAGAATTATATATTTATTTCTGTTTGAATCCATTAGTTATAATAGATGCAGTAGAAGTCTCGTGTTGCTGTTTTAAAAAGAAGTAAACCGCTTTGATGTACTACAGCAATTTTGAATTATATACCAACAGAAAAAGTAACTGCGCTTCATATTAAGTTCAATAATAATACATGAATTCTGAAATTGAATGATGCATTTTTCAATACATATTTATGGCTCAGCTTGGGGTAGCTCTTCAGACGGAATGGCGGGGAATACAAAAAGCAACCAAATTAATCAACAGTATGGCTTCAAGGTGTCGTGCATGTATTGCCCACAAAGGTGGACACACAAGATATTGATCTCCACTCCAAAATATATTTTACAGACATTTATCGTTATTACACATTCACTGTTATTCATCAGTTCTCTTATTATTTTCGGTAGTATATAATGATTTAATGTATTTTGAATTGAAAATCAAACATGATAAATTCAACTGAGGGGTATAGTTTCTTTTTTGTCCTCAGTTTATCTTAAATATGAGGTTAAAGTTAAAAAACAATTTAAAGGTGTGTGTTTTAGATTTTTTGTATTGCCTGAAAGTTCCTCTACATGTAAGAATTTCAACTTTAAAAAACATTTTATGAAAATAATAATTCGGCTTTAATAACCCCAAATACGCCCCAACCTACACATCTATCAATACAAGATCAACTATCTAGTATCCAAGGAATGGCGTAATAGTGTAATCATTTGTTGTGGCCAATACAAGTCATGATGCCATAGAAGTATATCCTTGAGCCAGCTTAGTAAATTATTTGGCTTCAAGAAGTTAGTGAAATAAGCAGGTGTGTGTATATTGGAGAACGTGCATTGATCAAGTTGTTTCAGAAAAAGCCATCAATGGAGATATGAGTACATCGCCAGGGAAGGATGTCCCTGCCGAAATCAAGCTTCTGACATCTGATAAAAAATGGGATTATCTAGCTCTGTTTGAAGCTGATCCAGATAGATTCTTGCAACGATTTGTGACTATGGAAGAAACCTGGGTTCACCACTTCTCGGCTGAGTCCAAACAACAATCAAAACAGTGGAAGCATTCGACATCATCACCTCCAAAGAATGTAAAGACTGTCCCATCAGCTGCAAAGTTTATGTCCTCCGTGTTCTGGGATGCCGAATGTGTCATCATGGTGTCATCTTCCAAAAGGCCACACACACAAACCGAGCATATAATGCTGCACTTATGAGGCAATTACGGAATGAAATTAGGACAATACACCAGTGGACAAATCAGCTATTGCCATAGCTTTAATCCACGATGTATATCGATGATCTGATATCGTTAAAAACAGTCTCATAACCAAGTCCCTTCCATTTATTCACCCACATGAACTTGATTTGTTTTGTTTTGTTTGTTGTTTTTAACGTCGCACTCAGCAATATTCCAGCTATATGACGGCGGTCGATCATGAGCATCGATCCACGCAATTGAGATACGATGACATGAATCAACCATATTTCATATTTAGATCTATGCATACAGATACAGAATGACAAAAAACGCACCTGAAAACTGTATGACAAGAGGGATGGTTTCAACATCCAAATAGTGTACGTTTCCTTTATGTCGAGCAGTATAATACGAAGACCTAATGGTGGTACTTTGGTAGCATTTTTATAGATAGAAATTTATCGTTATCTCAATAATTTTATAGAAATGTGGAGTTCTTTTTCGTTACTTCGAACATTGTCTCGTTTGAAGTTTATCTAAAAAATCGAAATATCGAATGTTTTTTCGTTGTTTCAAGTATTTTCTTGTTTTTTAGATTATTTTCTCATTGCCTCGAGGTATTTTTCTTGTTACTTCGATTATTTCCTCGTAATTTCGATTATGTTCTCGTTATTTCAAGTTTATTTCCCAAACTCAAATTTGTATATTTTTTCTTGTTATTTCAATTATTTTCCATGAATTTCGATTTTACTCTCTCGTGAATTCAATTATTTTCTCGAAATATCAAGATTTTGAAACAAACTTGAATTTACGAGAAAATAATCGAAGTAACGAGAAAGAAACCCGAAGGAAAAAAACGAGACAATAATTGAAATAACGAGGAAATAATTGAAATTACGAGAAAGTTCGATTAAAAAAATATATATGCTACCAAACTGGCACCTTTAGACTTTCGTAGTATCCAAAGCAGCAGATCCAGCCTTTAGTGTTTACATTTCACAACACTTTTTGAATAATCTAGAAATAACGAGAAAACAATCGAAATTACCAGAAAATGATCAAAGTAACGGGAAATAAATTCGAAGCAACTGGAAAATTAATGAAACAACGAGTAAATAATTAATGGGACGCAAAAATAATCAAAGGTAGCGAGAGAAAAAAATCGAAAAGTGGCACCATTAGGCTTTCGTAATATCCCATTCAGCAGGTCCAGCCTTTGGCGTTTAAATTTCTCAACTTTTTTTAAAATAAACTCGAAATAATGAAAAAATAATCGATATTACAAGAAAATAATCGAAGTAACGAGAAAAATAAATCGAAGCAATGAGAAAAAAAATGAAATGACGAGTTAATAAATAAATGAACGCAAAACTAATCAAATTTACGATAATTTTTCTTTTTCGAAATTTCGGGTTTTGAAATAAACTTGAAATAACGAGAAAATAATCGAAAGTGGCACCATTAGGCTTTCGTGGTATTTCATACGGCAGGTCAAGCCTTTGGTGTTTACATTTCACAACTTTTGAAGTACAATCGTGCATGCTATTTTTACAAAGAATTTCGAACAGAGACATTGTTTGATCAATGTTATAGCATTTAAGGTTTCAAAACGTTTTATGGTAGAAATGTACAGGATTTTTCCAAATTTGACGCATCACTAACAAAAATGACCTATTTTGACGTGGGTCATGCACACGAAATATGTTCCACAAGCTCGTCGCACGTACACCCCACACTTTGGCGATTCGGGTTGTGAAATGCAGTTCGTCTCTTAACGAATTCTAATTTCGGTATGAACGTATTTTTCACGTTTCTTTTCAGTGATCACATATTGCCATTTATCTTCCTGAGATAAATCAAACCAAACTTTGATATAGGCTATGGCCCCTCTTGTCTCGGGAAGATGGTATTGCCATAACTGATTTAAGTATTCTGGATTAGTTTTATCAATGTAATCTGTACGCGCATATTGTCTAGTTTGATATGCCTTCGCGCATAACATTGCATGCGTTCGATTTGAAAACCCAGTGCTGACCCAAGTTATACTTGGTTGACCAAAAATAAACAGGGCGGCAAAAGAAAGTATAGGTCGAGTTCCATGATCGATAAAAAAATAACAAGAAGAGGTTTTGTTGTGAATTAAGTAGATTATACTAATATAATCTAGGGAGGGGTAACAAAGATTGCTTAACCACAGTTTGAATGAAATTGTGCAATCACAGGTAATGTAAGCTGAAGGTAAACAATGGTGGGGTAAGAAATTTCATATTCAAAAGTTGTCTGAAATGTCACAAAAAATTGTCAGACACACTACAAGTTCATTGTCGACACAGTTGCCTTTAATAGCGTGTATGACCTCCAGCTGATTCAATGTATGCTGTGATACGCTGCCTCGTCGATGACGTCATTCTTCTGATGACGTGGACTGGAATCCGTTGCCACTCGTCTCTCAGGGCCTGCTGCAATTCTTGTCTGTTGACGGGAGGCTGAGTGCGTGCTCTAATCTGTCTGTCAAGATGGTCCCAGAGATGTTCAATAGGATTCATATCGGGTGGGTGGTCAGGCCAGGGCAAAACGTCAACGGTCTGCTGGTTTAGAAAGTTCCGAGTCAGTCTTTCAGTATGGGGCCTGGCATTGTCGTGTTGAAACAATGTCCCCTGCTGTTGGTTTTGTAAGAACGGAAGCACAACTGGCTGCAACACTTGGTCTCTGTACTGCACATCGCTCAGGTTTCCCTGTATAATCACCAAATCAATCTTCTGATCTCCACAAATACCGCCGAACACCATGAGACCTCCCCCGCCGAATGGATGGACCTCTCGAATACACGCCGGAGCCAAACGTTCCCCTCTGCGTCGATAAACTCGTTCTCTGCCGTCATTTCGAAACAAGTTCAACCGACTTTCATCAGTAAACAGCAATCGACGCCAATTTCTCACTTGCCAGCGTCGAACCTGCCTCGCCCATCGCAGTCTCAGGCGTCGATGTTGAGCAGTCAGTACCATTCCTCGGAAAGGACGATACGCTCGGATTCCAGCAGCACGAAGTCGTCGTAGTACTGTATGTTGGCTAATGGGATGTCGCAACGCTGTGGCTGCCGTCGCCGTTACGAATCTGTTTCGCAGGTGAATGAGCCGTATCTGACCGTCTTTCAGTGGTGTTGTCACTCGGGGTCGTCCGGTTCTAGGCCTGTCCTGTGTCATCCCTGTCTGGTTGTACCGTTGAAACAGCCTGGCTACTGTCAATGGTGTACAACCAAACCTTCTGGCAATTTGGACCTGTGTTGCCCCCATTTCGGCCATACCGATGGCTCTCTCTCTCTGCTCCTGTGACAGTCGTGGCATTTCTTTTGTGTGCTTTCATCACGTGTGGTTATACCCTGCAGACGAACGCATTTATACAGATAACATGCACGTGCAGTTTATGCCATAGGCGGGAAACCTGTTTCACCAATATTTCGTCAAAGGTGGCGCGTTCGGGTGAGGTGTTTTGGGGTA